TTTGAGTAGAAGCAAACGCACCTGGGGAGCCAGGTTAATCTGGGGAAACGCGCCGTCACGCATGAGGCTGACTCGGTCGCTGAGAGCAGCCGTGGTGCCAAAGGCCCAGCAGGAGCCACAGTACCGCGGGATGTGCTGATTGCGCTCCACCACGGTGTAGCTGCGCCCACTCCTGTTGCGAATGTCATATGCTGCCGGGATGTCCTCCGGCCGCAGGTAGCTCTGAGGGAGAGGGGACTTGACTGTCACGGGCTGGAGTGGGGTGGGGTGCAATGGAATGGGGTGGGGTGGGGTACGGTGGAATTGAGAGAGGGTAACATGGGGGGGATGTGCAGATTGCGCCCCACCACGGTGTAGGTGCGCCCACTCATGTTGCGAATGTTGTAGGCCTTAGGGATATATTCTAGGCGAAGGTAGTGCTGTGGCAGGGGGGAGGGGACTTCACTGTCACGGGCTGGAAGTGGGGTGGGGTGGGACGGTGAGGCGAGCGGTTTGAAGGGTTGCAAAAGTCGCTCAGAAGTCATGCATGACCGCGCAAAGGACAAGACAGCGCAAGACGACGCAGCGCAACGCAGCACTCATGATTTACAATGGGAGTGTGGCTTCCCATGAAACCCCTAAACAAGTTATTATCGCGCACAAGCTGACTTGTGAGATTTTTTAGAAGTAACACACACAAGCTGACTTTTGAGAATTCTCATAAGTAACACAAAAGCCGACTTTTGAGTCGCCTCAATAGTCAGCTCCTCACGAGGCGCCTAAAAATTAATCATTGCACACAAGACAAGCACCGCAATGCAACGCAGCGCAGCACTAATGGCTTACAATGGGGGTGGGGCTTCTCTTGAGGCAGGCGCATTCCTTGAGCCGCCCAAACAGGTGCAAGTGGTGCTGCCCTTCTGACGCCACCGCAGCTTCTTCCGCTGCTACTACTGCTGCCCTCCCATTCTCCATCTCCCCTTCTCTTCCCCCCCCCACAACCTGCTGAATCAGCAGCCCTTCCGCCCCAGCGCCCTTGGCAACCGCAGCTTCGGAAGAATCCGAGCCAGAACCGGAGGCACGGCCTGTGGCAGGCTCGGAGGCTCGGGGCAGGGGATCGAGGGGTTGGGGGATGGCGCCGGATGGGAGGGGGTTGGCGTCAGGGTCGGCCCAGGAGCAGGTGAGCTCGATGCCTAGGTTGCGGTGGTGCATGCGGATGCGGAACAGTCCCTGCTCGCCCCTGCAAGTGGGGACGGGGAGATGAGAAGATAAATGAGGATACAAGGAGACTTAGAGTCGGCCCAGGAGCATGTGAGCTCGATGCCGAGGTTGCGGTGGTGCATGCGGATGCGGAACAGTCCCTGCTCGCCCCTGCAGGTGGGGATGGGCAGTGCAGGGGTACAATATAAATGCGTGACAACAGGACAGGTGAGCTCGATGCCGAGGCTGTGGTGGTGCATGCGGATGCGGAATTGACACTGCTCGCCCCAGTGGTTGGTAGGGATAGGGTGATGAGAGGATACGCGAGCATCAGAGAGAGGCCAGTGTGCAGCCGTGTGCACTTCCATTTTAACTAATATTTTCTGAGGCGCCTCAAAAATAGACAGCCATGCAGATTCTCATGCTAGCTCGCGTCCGCACCATAGCATGCCCCCCCCCAGGGGCTGTGGCCGATCCAGTGCTCGTGCAATCAGGCAACCGAAAGTCCACGTGGGAAAGGAAAAGAAAGAGGCCTTACACACAGATCTGTCTTACAACGAATCATACGCACCATGCCATGCCCCACGAGTTGCGGCCAATCCAGTACTCCTGCCCCGAGGCCTCATCCACACCCCACCCCACGAGGGAGACCTCGTGATTGGGCAGCGGCAGCGGCACAAACTGGTGGAAAATGCCGCCCGTGTACGCCTCGAATTGGTCTGTGACGTCCATGCCGCACGAGATGGGGCCGCGCTTGAAGATCTCCGCTGCAGGCAGGGCGGGCAGGCGGGTGAAAGCAGGCCAGTTTAGGCAGAGCAGGCGGGCAGGTTGGGGCAGGCGAAAATGAGTTTAAGCCATAAAAAAAAAAAAAAAAAAAAAAAAAAAAAAAAAAAAAAAAAAAAAAAAAAAGAGCGAGTGAGAGACGGACAGCTGTGATAGTTAGTTGTGATACCCGTGAATTTACAGAACGGCTCCCCACTCTTCTAACTCTCGACTTAAAAGCCATCTCCGAGTCACGGAGCTGCTTCTCTCACCTTTGAGCTTGTCTGCTCTGGACATGCGGTTACCAACAGCATCCTCGTCCGAGCCTGCAGGAGGCAAACAGGCGAGGAAGAAAAGCACACACACTTCTGAGGCGCCTAACGAGAAGTAAAACAAAGAAACAAATGAACGAAGCTGGGGGAAGAACACAGACACACAAGGTCCGACCAGGGCGGCAAACAGCTCTCAATCGTGGAACAGGCCGACCCACGCCATTTGCATAAGGGTACAAAGCAAAAGGAACATGCGCTTGTAAGGAGTACGGAGTGTAGCTGGAGGGTGTTTGTGACGGACCTGAGTGCACGGAGCCGTACTGCTTGACACGCCAGAGGGTGAAATTGGCAACAGGGAAGCATGTGCCGGGTGTGAAGGGCTCGGGATCCACTCCTGGCACACAGTCCTCACACACCCTGCGAGCACAGCAGCAGCAGAGTGGTGCATGCATGATGGGAAAAAACATGACAGAGAGGTCAGAAGCACGTAGGTTAGAGCAGATCCGGGTCAGACGCGCATTTCTTACCGCAGAGAACACCACCCGTGCTCCAAAATGCCGCAATTAAACAACCTGAAACGCGCTCTCACCCCAAAAGACACCACCCTCAGTCGCACTCTTACCCTGGGAATCCCTTACTCCTAAAAGCTACAATGAAAGAAACAACCCTTGTTCCTTGAATTGAAGCTACAAGGGATGGAAGGCACAACCCTTATTCCTAAAAGCTCCCCGCTCACCCCAGCGGGCGGCACTCCTGGTCCTCCGCCTCGTAGTTCTGGCAGCTCTCGTGCGGCAGGCCGCGCTGCGCCATGTACTGCAGCGCCCTGTACGGATCGCCGCCGTTGCACGACCCGCCGCCCTTGCAGTTCAGAAGCACCTGCGCGGACCGAATTGGGTTGGATCTGATCGAATGAGATCGTTCTGTATCGTATTGAGAAGTGTAATCGCCTTGACAAGCCAGACAACGATGGCTGCTTACACACCGCAGGAAATAACGCGACAACCAGGACTGCTGCGCGTCAATTGAGCGGCTTGAAATGAGGCCCGAAACGTAAAACGCAGGACGATACCTGGGGGGAAAGGACGATGTCCGGCCATGCAGCGTTGCGTTTGATCTTGATGCGGTCCGACACTGCTGACGTGGTCGCGAAGGCCCAGCACGAGCCGCTGTTGACATTAAGATGGTCATTGTCAGACATTGACATTGGGACATCCACAAAGAAATAATATTTCTAGAACGAATCTGTGTCTGGTAATAAGATAAGGGAGTTTTGCTATACGCTCATTGTCAGAATGAGAAACATTGCGAGACGTTCCACTTTCACATTCACGTTGACGTACCAGTATTGCGGGATGTGCTGGTTCCTGCTCTCTGTCAGATAGTTCACTCCGCTAACATTGCCCCAGAAGAAGCTTCGTGGAAGATCCGACTTCTTCAGAGTCTCGTGCGATCGCGGCTCCGTGACGAGCTCTCCGCCAATGAATCCCCTGGCGTTCGGGTCACGGCAAGGAGTGTGCTCCTTGGATAGAAGCGTGCGACCTGACGCCATGGCCAGAGCAGCCATCGATGCGAGCAAGATCGCGACAGTAACAGAATGATAAAACTTCGCCATTACGAGCATCGTTGCGCGAAGACTATTACGCTGGCGAGAGTAATCGGAATACTACTTATGAAGATCAGCGCTGCTTCCTCCTTGCTTTACCAGAAGAAAAAGCAGTTCTGATTTATTACAGGCTGTTCTATTTGCAAATAGGGACCACGAGTGCCAGAAGAACACTGGAGATAGAATCTAGGGGCGAGAGAAGTGTTCAAGGGAGTGAGGTATGGAAAAGGGTGTGGGCAAAGTTAGAGCAGCGGAGGTTCGACATCGACCATTTTCGACGAATGGACGATTCCCAAGTAGGCTCGGAATAGCGGTGAAAGAATGAAATTCCCAGGGCTGCCTGGAAGTTGTTCACGGAGGTGATGTATTGCCACGTCATAAAGAAGCTGTTTGCGGCTGCAAGCCTAGGTTGGGTACGTACGACTCCTGGTGTTGGTGTCTTCCGCATCGTACGCGTACTGAAGTGCACAGTGTGCTGAAATTCGAGCCAAGCTGTACAGAACAGATTGGCTCGGGGTCACCGAGGCTGCCACAATCTGGTGTGAGCCTGAAGCTTGGCGCGGAATTGTGGGTTCGAGATGCCAAGTTCGAAATTGCGAAGCCACAAACTCCAAATGCTGCAGTACGCCTGCAATGCGTGGGAGCTGGGGGACGCGGCGCAAGGTGGTGTAGCCCAGGGGAAATGAGCGGGAAGCGCAAATGTAGTTCGAAGGGCAGGCGGGAGACTAAGTGTGCGACGGGGGATTATACAAGTACACAATCTCGAGGAGCAGGCAAAGCTTGACACGCCAGTGACGCCACCAGAATGAACCGACGCAAAATTCGTTTTCACCCCCTGTTGTTCCGCGTTCAACTTTCCTCGAGCAGTCCTGAAGTAGTCAAACATTGCTCGAGGTAGGTCAATGGCTGCGGTTACTGACTGTTAGGTCAGCAGCAACTGCTGTGTCTGGCCTCATTTTCGTAAGAGAGCAACTTAGCCTGAGCTTTCTGTAGCATATTCCTCGTATAGCCTAAGTAGTATTCAGCCTAAGCTTCAATCTGCCTGCAGTCCGACCATGGACGGCGAGAGGGGCACAGAGCACGGGGCCCCTCATGCCGTTTCCTCGCCACGGCGGCAATCCCAGCCGTCCAATTCCCCCTCAAGTCGACGGCTATCGCACCATGGCTCCCTGTCCAACCGTCAGATGGATCGTTTAGATTCCCCCAGCGACCGTTCCAATCAAGGCTCGCCGCGCGCGACGCTGTCACCCTCGCCGCTTGCGAGGCCCGCCGCAAAGGGCTCCACTGCCGCGAATGCCGGCCGCCCTGTGGCGCACACCAGATCGGGGGAGTCACCGCGCGCGCCGCCCGCGGTGCAGTCGCTGCGCAAGGAGGGCCTACACGAGGGGTGGCACCGCCGCTCCGCGTCGCTCGGCAGCTCGCGCCTCGAGATTGCCGACGACGACATGGAGGACTTTCAAGAGGAGACCGAGAGCACGCACGACGATCATCGCGCGGACCGCGATCACCGTGCGCACAGGGACCATCGCGCGGACAGCGAACATCGCGCGGATCGGTGGCGACCGCCAAAGCAAGCCCCGCCCAGGCCATCGCGGGCCTCTCCGCTTTCCGCCTCCCCGCTCTCCGCGTCTCCACTATCCCTTTCCCCCCTCTCCATCCGCCACTCGGACGCGGCCGGTATGGGCTCCCCGCGCGCATTGGGCTCTCCGCGCGCCGTCGGCTCTCCACGCGCAGTGGGCTCTCCGCGCGCCGTGGGCTCCCCCCGGTCCGTCGGCTCTCCGCGATCCGTGGGCTCCCCGCGGTCCGCGCGGCTACGAGGCGCGGACAAGGCTTGGGACGCCGTGTCGCGGCAGGACTCGGTCCGCAGCACCGGCAGCCTTAAGGGCGATCGATCATCGCACTCAGTTTCGGAATTCAGCTCGTCAGGTCCGCGCCGCGTCAACAGCATTGGCGGTGGGGGGACTGTCGCGCGCGTGCGCAGTGGCGGGGGAGGCCATGAAGGGCCGGGGAACAAAGCGCTTTCTCCCCCTACCGGGTTCCCCCCGCGGCCCCGCGGGATCATGGTGAAATCGTCTAGCCTATCTGTAAGCTCGCTCGATCAGCCGTATCGACGGTCCGTGTCGTTCGATCTCAAAGACGACGACGAGCCCGCGGGCTGCGTCCGAAGCGCGTCGAACCCCGCGCTGCTGCACGTGAGAGGCGAAACCGGCGCAGACGCGGGAAGGGCGGGGGGAAAGGCGGGCAATGCTGGGCGCTCCGAGGAGGATGTGGGGGATGATAGTTCCAGTATAGACAGTCTCGATTGGGAAGGGGAGGAGGAAGACGTGGGCGGAAGGGAGCAGGAGCAGGAGAAGCGCGGGCGGCTCTCTCACGCGGGGTTGACTCCGCGGGACTCTCCCGCGCAACCCTCTCTTCCGCGCAATCGCTTTCCGCAACACCTCGGCGCGCCCCGCGCTGCTGGTTCCAGCCGCGGGGGTCCCGACGGCGCGACTGCGCCAGGCGGTGCGCGCGCCGCGCACCGGCGGTCGCTCTCCTCCCCCGCGCACGACCTTGCGCCGCTTCCCCTGAGTTCCGCGTCGGGGGAAGCGGTGGTGGCGGGAACAGTGCTGGCTCCACGTAGGCAGGCTAGGCACTCGGATTACAGCGACGAGAGTGACAATAGCGAGGGTGACGGTGACGGGGAGGGGGGTCAGGGGCGGCAGGTAGGCGCGCGGGGCAGGTCCGCTGGTGCGGGCGGAGCCAGTTGCGGGCAGGTCAGCGCAGCGGGGAAGGGCAGGGCGTTGGGGGGCGAGGGGCGGGGGGACAGGGGAGGGCAAGCGGGGGAAAGGGGCGCGGGGAGGGGCGGGGGAAAGGGAGGGACGACCAGTGGCCCATCGTCCCACGAGCAACGAGTCAGGCAGCCTGTGAGAGGCGGGGAAAGGCGAGCGGGAGGGGGTGTTGGCGGAGAAGCGGAAGAGGGGAGCGTTGTGACTGTTGGGGGGAGCGGGGGGGCGATGGGGCAACCGTTTGTGATGCAGTTTAAGGTCGCGGGGGTGCTGAGTGGGGAGGAGGACGAGGAGGAGGAGGAGGATGAGCAATATGAGTTCGAGGAGCAGGAAGAATCAAGAGATTTAGAGGTTGAGGGGGGAAATAGGGGAGCGGGGATAAGGAGCACGGGGGAGAGAGCAGCGGGCGCGCGTGCAAGGGGAGGAGCGCCTGTGAAGGCAGCAGTGGGGGCGGGGCGCGCAGAGGGGTGGAGTGCGCGGGAGGAACGTGCACGGGTGCTGGCAAGCGACAGTGAGGACGCGAGTGACGAAGAGGAGGCGGGAAGGGGGGGGAGAGGAGGCATTGCTGCTGGTGCTGTCGGTGCTGCTGCTGCCGGTGCTGGCATAACTGGTGGTGGTGGTGGTGGTGGTGGTGGTGGTGGTGGTGGTGGTGGTGGTGGTGGTGGTGGTGGTGGTGGTGGTGGTGGTGGTGGTGGTGGTGGTGGTGGTGGTGGTGGTGGTGGTGGTGGTGGTGGTGGTGGTGGTGGTGGTGGTGGTGGTGGTGGTGGTGGTGGTGCTGGTGCTGGTGGTGCTTGCAGTGATCTGAGTGACAGCGAGGAGGAGGAGGAAGAGGAGCTGCTGCAGCTGGCACGGGAACGGCAGCGGCTGCTGCAGGCGAAGCTCGGGCAGCAGAACCCCACGGCTTTGCGAGAGAACGGGCTGCCCGAGAAAAATGTTGGGGGGGTAAGCAGGCAGGGAGTAGCAGGCAGGGGAAGGGACGGGGATGGGACATTGAGAGAGGGGAAAAGCCGGGCGGAAGTGACGAGTGTGTCAGGGGAGAGAGCAGCAGAGGAGGATGATGATGGGCTGGAGAGAGAGTGGGAGTGGGAGTGGTCTCGTGTGAGGCAGAACCAACGAGTCACTGAGCTTAGGGCGGCCCCACAGGGGGTTTTCTTCAAGAGTGCTTCTGTTGGGGGTGCTGCTGCTGTGGTCAGCAGACCATTAAAGGGTGCGGCAGCGGCAGAGGCAGAGGAGGAGGTGGAAGAGGAGGAGGAGGATGAGGAGGAGTGGGAGGAGAGTCCTGAGCATGCACCCAGGGCGTATTCACTGCCCCGTGTGGGTGGGTCGGCAGACCCCCGGCTTCTTGGATTCGTGAAGTCGCAGTCTTTGTCTACTAGCGGCCGCCCGACTACCGCTGACTCAGCAGCGGTTACCAGACGAAGCCGGTACCTGAGGGGAGCAGAGGGGCAGCAGCAGCAACAGCAGCAGCAGCAACAGAGACCCCCTCCTTGGAGACAACCCCATGGGATGGGCAGAGAGAGGGATGTGGGGGAGGGGCAAGGGCGGGCAGTGGGGCAAGACGCGGGGAGGGACGGGGGGAGGGAGGTTGGGAGGGACGGGGACGCAGGAGCAGCAGTGCGACAGGGAGCAGCAGCAGCAGGGGGCAGAAGGGCAGTGGGAGGGGAAGGACTAGCAGCGGGCGAGGGTGGGGGAAAAGTGGGGGCTGTGCGGGCTCGTGCAGTGCAGCAGCTGCGCACAGAGGGAGGGGGGGAAGGGGTGAGGGGCGGGGGAGGGGGAGGGGGAGGGGGAGGAGGTGGAAGGGGGAGGCACAGGAGAACAAGCTCTGACCCAGAGATAGGGGCAGCAGTATTGGCACGGAGAGGGGTGGGTGTGGGGAGGAGTGGTCTGGCTGCGAGCCGAGCAGGGGAGAGGGCAGGGGAGGGAGGCGGGCTTGGGAGAGAGAGTGGAGTGCAAGGGAGAGCGAGGGGGTCTGAAGGGGTGGAGAGGGGTGGAGAGCGGCGAGGTCAGGATGGAAGAGCGAGAGTGGAGGGATCAGCGAGAGTGGAAGCAGGGGGGGGTCAGTTGAATGGGGAAGAGGTGGCTGCTGTTCAGGAGCCCGCTTTGGAGAGAGAGCTCACGTTCAGGCTCGGCTGAGTCTTAAGGCTCAGTCGTTACTCTAAACCCGAAACAATGATTCCGGCTTGTTGATCCACCCGCTGCTGCTTCTCGTGCACATTTCCTCGGCGCGTCGAAGCATTTTTACCCTTTTGGGGCTTTGCCACCGTCATGCAGTTTGGTTGATTCTGCACAGTTAGTAGTGATACGGTAGTAGACACAGGCAGAGTCCTATCTAGTTGATACAAGCCCTCCACTTATTACAGCAATGATACATACGGTGCAAGACACAATATTTATGAGATTCGGGAGACTTGATCTCAAGCCGTGCGTGCTTGCACAATTCTTAATGCGTAATCATGTTTGTCTACTCTAGTAAACTCACATACACAAAGGGCATCCAATGCGTTTGGCCAGTCAAAGTGATGCATTGATCAATTTGGTCGGTATGCGCATATGTAGGTAGGGAACGTACTACCAGTCATCTTGCAAAATGTATGGAATGAAATGGAAATACATGGCGAGGCAGTAGAAATTAGTCTACCCGAGTGAACTAACCTAAAAAAAAAAACATCCAATGCGTATGGTCAGTCAAAGTGATGCATTGATCAGTTTGGTCGGTATGCGCATGCGTATGGAGAGCGTACCAGGCATAGTTGTAACGCTCACATCTGTCAAACTGTGTTTGAATATCTGTAGGCTGTAGTGAGGTAGCCTCTACTGGGTACGTATACCTAGTATAGTACCGTATGGCCCCGGATATAGGCGTCGTCCGAGGGGCCGACGCTTCTATCTGGAGCATGGCGCTTATGGCCGGAACTCGATTATAAGCGCCCACCCTGTAAAAGCCTGATTTATTATAAGCGCATGAATGATTTTTATTTTCAATCCTGATTAAAACGGTAACGAATTTCAAATTTGCAGCGAGTCAACACCCATTTTCACTTTGTTTGACTTTCGAGGACCTCACCGGTTGCGCGTCCAGTCAGGATGAGCTGGCACGCGGGCAAAGTGACGTGCCAAAGCCTTGTGCACCGTCAGAGAATCGCCCTCACACGATTCTTATTGTGGACGCTATAAAATTTCGATTCGATTGAACTTACGACACTGAAATGTACATTTTGGTGCGTTTAAAGCCCGAGTACAGCATGGTATTTTTCAAGTTCAAGATTCTTGAACTTGAAGTCGCCAAAAACAGGGTTACCCTCTTTGGTTTGAAACACAACTCGCGAGGCAGGGAAAAACTCTTGCGACGGTCGATCCTGATTGGTTTCTGTGCCCAGTCGCACAACAGATCCGACCATCTCCTACAAGGTTGCCCCCATCTCCTCTCACATATCTTGAAGACCAAGTAGTACTCTTAGTTCACTAGGAGACTCACGTAACTAGGAAACGCGCGGCAGGGCGATAAAGGCTAGCTCAGGTGGAGGCGTTTTTATATGAACAACACTACTGTACTCACACACGCAGTCTTGCCAATAGCTGAGCGGCACGTCTTCAAGCCAAACTCGCGCCTACCGTACCGTTTTCGCATGCCAGACACGGAACGTCCGTACTAGCGCACGTCACACAAATGTAGGTAAATGACATGAGTTGCTACACTTGACCGTGATAGGATGGTGGTGGGCGGGTTACCTAAGTTAGATTCTGTTACAATCCCAAGTGGGACTTAGCGAAGGATCGCTCAGGGTTGATCGCAGAGTAGTGTTGCAGCGGAAGATTGAATCTCAGGTAAGAGTGAATGTAAATGACTGAGTTGATAATAGCATGCATACATCGGGTTTATATAAGAATACCGTCGAGAAACGCTAGCAGAAAGTTAGAAACAGAAAGAGGGGTTGCACTAGCAGCAGATAGGATACATATAGCAAACCCTAATTTGGGCTGTACTCACTATAGAGTACCCCACTGCAGACTAGACAATTATAGCATTCTGACACACCCCCATAGGCAAAGTGGGGTATGATCAGCACAGCAAGCAATCGCATAAGAAGTTCACAAGCACAAGCAAAGCTAGAGGCAGTCACAGAAGGCAAGTGAGGAGGAGGAGGGACTGTGAGAGGAGTGGAGATAGGAGGCGACGGGTGAAGCCGCAGACACACGGGCAACAGGAGCGGCGCGCACGGTGGCTACCGGAGCAAGGGCCCCGGACTACAGGAGTAACTGGCTCCGCGGCTAAGACGAGCGGCAGGAGCAACGGACCCGCGGGCAACTGGCGCAGCAGGCTCGCTGGGCTACCGGAGCAAGGGCCCCGGACTACTGGCGCTGCTGACGTCACGACGGCTACCTCCGCTCAACCTCCCCCAACTGTCCCACACCCCTTTCACACACCCCTTGCTGCACCCCTAGCTCCACTCCCACGACTCCCCCCTAGCGCCACTCCCTCGGCTCCCACACACCCACCCCCCTCAGCGGCAGCTGCAGCAGTGGGAGACGGAGGAGGAGGAGGAGCAGGGGACGGCTCACACACCCGCCACCCCCATACCCGCCACCCCCATACCCCCAACGCAGGCGGCGCGCGTGCGGCGCGGGGCAGATACGCGGGCAGCAGCTGGGGCGCTGCGACGGGCGACGGGGCGGCGCGCGGGCCCCCAGGGCGCCGCGACGGGCGACGGGAGGGGGCGACGCGCGGGCCCCCAGGGCGCCGCGACGGGCGACGGGCAGGGCGGCGCGCGGGCCCCCGGGGCGCCGCGGCGACGGGAGGGGGCGGCGCGCGGGCCCCCGGGACGCCGCGACGGGCGACGGGAGGGGACAGCGCGCGGGCCCCCGGGGCGCCGCGACGGGCGACAGGAGGGGGGGACGGCGCGCGGGCCCCTGGGGTGCCGTGACGGGCGACGAAACCGCCGCGCGCGCCTGGGGCGCGCGGCCGGTAGGAAACGTCGCGCGCCCCGGGCGTGCGACAGGCAGGACAGCAGCGGAAGCAGGTGGGCCCACAGGCCAGGAGCGTTCTCGCTCTGATAGCATGTCGAAAAACGCTAGCAGAAAGTTAGAAACAGAAAGAGGGGTTGCACTAGCAGCAGATAGGATACATATAGCAAACCCTAATTTGGGCTGTACTCACTATAGAGTACCCCACTGCAGACTAGACAATTATAGCATTCTGACGAATACAAGGGAATACGAAAAGACCTAGGCTAGCCATGCACTCTAAGGGGTACATTCCCTTATTGCAGCGAATTCAAACCGTGCGGCGCGGGAACCCGTTTCAAACATATTCCCGCTCTTTTCAGTTCAAATGTTTCTGCCTCCCTCCTCCCTGCTTCCCCCCTCCCTCCTCCTTGCTTTCTCCCTCCCTCCTCCCTGCTTTCCCCCTCCCTCCTCCCTGCTTCCCCCCTCCATCCCCCCTGCTTCCACCCTCCCTCCGCCCTGCTCCCCCCCTCCCTCCGTCCTGCTTCCCCCTCCCTCCGTCCTGCTTCCCCCCTCCCTCTGCCATGCTTCCCCCCTCCCTCTGCCATGCTTCCCCCCTCCCTCTGCCCTGCTTCCCCCCTCCCTCTGCCATGCTTCCCCCCTCCGTCTGCCATGCTTCCCCCCTCCCTCTGTCCTGCTTCCCCCCTCCTTCTGCCATGCTTCCCCCCTCCCTCCGCCCTGCTTCCCCACTCCCTCCGCTCTGCTTCCCCCCTCCCTCAGCCCTGCTTTCCCCCTCCCTCTGCCCTGCTTCCCCCCTCCTTCTGCCATGCTTCCCCCCTCCCTCTGCCCTGCTTCCCCCCTCCTTCTGCCATGCTTGCCCCCTCCCTCTGCCCTGCTTCCCCCCTCCCTCCGCCCTGCTTCCCCCCTCCCCCTGCCCTGCTTCCCCCCTCCTTCTGCCATGCTTCCCCCCTCCCTCTGCGCTGCTTCCCTACTCCCTCCGCCCTGCTTTCCTCCTCCCTGTGCCCTGCTCCCTTTCTGGATTGGTAATAGGCCCAGACAAGCGCAGCCACGTTATCCGGCGGAAGAAAAACGCCCGGAACGAGCGCTTCCACCCCCAAAACGCGGAAGGGTCCGCACATGTGCAGGAAGTGCAGCGGGCGCTCTTCATTCGCGAGCGCCGATGGCCGATGATGCTCGCAACCCTCCCACGCCCTTGCTGGCTTGGTAATAGGCCCAGACAAGCGCAGCCACGTGACCCGGCGGAAGAAAAACGCTCGGAACGAGCGCTTCCACCCCCAAAACGCGGAAGGGTCCGCACATGTGCAGGAAGTGCAGCGGGCGCTCTTCATTCGCGAGCGCCGATGGCCGATGATGCTCGCAACCCTCCCACGCCCTTGCTGGCTTGGTAATAGGCCCAGACAAGCGCAGCCACGTGACCCGGCGGAAGAAAAACTCTCGGAACGAGCGCTTCCAACCCCAAAACGCGGAAGGGTCCGCGCATGTGCAGGAAGTGCAGCGGGCGCTCTTCATTCGCGAGCGCCGATGGCCGATGATGCTCGCAACCCTCCCACGCCCTTGCTGGCTTGGTAATAGGCCCAGACAAGCGCAGCCACGTGACCCGGCGGAAGAAAAACTCTCGGAACGAGCGCTTCCAACCCCAAAACGCGGAAGGGTCCGCGCATGTGCAGGAAGTGCAGCGGGCGCTCTTCATTCGCGAGCGCCGATGGCCGATGATGCTCGCAACCCTCCCACGCCCTTGCTGGCTTGGTAATAGGCCCAGACAAGCGCAGCCACGTGACCCGGCGGAAGAAAAACTCTTGGAACGAGCGCTTCCAGCCCCAAAACGCGGAAGGATCCGCACATGTGCAGGAAGTGCAGCGGGCGCTCTTCATTCGCGAGGTCCGATGACCGATGATGCTCGCAACCCTCCCACGCCCTTGCTGTCTTGGTAATAGGCCCAAACAAGCGCAGCCACGTGACCCGGCGGAAGAAAAGCGCTCGGAACGAGCGCTTCCACCCCTCAAAACGCGTAAGGATCCGCACATGTGCAGGAAGTGCAGCGGACGCTCTTCATTCGCGGGCGCCGATGACCGATGATGCTCGCAACCCTCCCACGCCCTTGCTGGCTTTGTAATAGGCACAGACAAGCGCAGCCACTTGACCCGGCGGAAGAAAAACGCTCGGAACGAGCGCTTCCAGCCCCAAAACGCGGAAGGATCCGCACATGTGCAGGAAGTGCAGCGGGCGCGCTTCATTCGCGGGCGCCGATGACCCATGATGCTCGCAACCCTCCCACGCCCTTGCTGGCTTGGTAATAGGCCCAGACAAGCACAGCCACGTGACCCGGCGGAAGAAAAACGCTCGGAACGAGCGCTTCCACCCCCAAAACGCGGAAGGATCCGCACATGTGCAGGAAGTGCAGCGGGCGCTCTTCATTCGCGAGGTCCGATGACCGATGATGCTCGCAACCCTCCCACGCCCTTGATGGCTTGGTAATAGGCCCAGACAAGCGCAGCCACGTGACCCGGCGGAAGAAAAGCGCTCGGAACGAGCGCTTCCAGGCCCAAAACGCGGAAGGATCCGCACATGTGCAGGAAGTGCAGCGGGCGCTCTTCATTCGCGAGGTCCGATGACCGATGATGCTCGCAACCCTCCCACGCCCTTGCTGGCTTGGTAATAGGCCCAAACAAGCGCAGCCACGTGACCCGGCGGAAGAAAAACGCTCAGAACGAGCGCTTCCACCCCTCAAAACGCGTAAGGATCCGCACATGTGCAGGAAGTGCAGCGGACGCTCTTCATTCGCGGGCGCCGATGACCGATGATGCTCGCAACCCTCCCACGCCCTTGCTGGCTTGGTAATAGGCCCAGACAAGCGCAGCCACGTGACCCGGCGGAAGAAAAACGCTCGGAACGAGCGCTTCCACCCCCAAAATGCGGAAGGATCCGCACATGTGCAGGAAGTGCAGCGGGCGCTCTTCATTCGCGAGGTCCGATGACCGATGATGCTCGCAACCCACCCACGCCCTTGATGGCTTGGTAATAGGCCCAGACAAGCGCAGCCACGTGACCCGGTGGAAGAAAAGCGCTCGGAACGAGCGCTTCCAGGCCCAAAACGCGGAAGGATCCGCACATGTGCAGGAAGTGCAGCGGGCGCTCTTCATTCGCGAGGTCCGATGACCGATGATGCTCGCAACCCTCCCACGCCCTTGCTGGCTTGGTAATAGGCCCAAACAAGCGCAGCCACGTGACCCGGCAGAAGAAAAACGCTCGGAACGAGCGCTTCCACCCCTCAAAACGCGTAAGGATCCGCACATGTGCAGGAAGTGCAGCGGACGCTCTTCATTCGCGGGCGCCGATGACCAATGATGCTCGCAACCCTCCCACGCCCTTGCTGGCTTGGTAATAGGCCCAGACAAGCGCAGCCACGTGACTCGGCGGAAGAAAAACGCTCGGAACGAGCGCTTCCACCCCTCAAAACGCGTAAGGATCCGCACATGTGCAGGAAGTGCAGCGGACACTCTTCATTCGCGGGCGCCGATGACCAATGATGCTCGCAACCCTCCCACGCCCTTGCTGGCTTGGTAATAGGCCCAGACAAGCGCAGCCACGTGACCCGGCGGAAGAAAAACGCTCGGAACGAGCGCTTCCTGCCCCAAAACGCGGAAGGATCCGCACATGTGCAGGAAGTGCAGCGGACGCTCTTCATTCGCGGGCGCCGATGACCGATGATGCTCGCAACCCTCCCACGCCCTTGCTGGCTTGGTAATAGGCCCAGACAAGCGCAGCCACGTGACCCGGCGGAAGAAAAACGCTCGGAACGAGCGCTTCCTGCCCCAAAACGCGGAAGGATCCGCACATGTGCAGGAAGTGCAGCGGGCGCCCTTCATTCGCGGGCGCCGATGCCCGATGATGCTCGCAACCCTCCCACGCCCTTGCTGGCTTGGTAATAGGCCCAGACAAGCGCAGTCACGTGACCCGGCGGAAGAAAAACGCTCGGAACGAGCGCTTCCTGCCCCAAAACGCGGAAGGATCCGCACATGTGCAGGAAGTGCAGCGGGCGCCCTTCATTCGCGGGCGCCGATGACCCATGATGCTCGCAACCCTCCCACGCCCTTGCTGGCTTGGTAATAGGCCCAGACAAGCGCAGCCACGTGACCCGGCGGAAGAAAAACGCTCTGAACGAGCGCTTCCAGCCCCAAAACGCGGAAGGATCCGCACATGTGCAGGAAGTGCAGCGGGCGCCCTTCATTCGCGGGCGCCGATGACCCATGATGCTCGCAACCCTCCCACGCCCTTGCTGGCTTGGTAATAGGCCCAGACAAGCGCAGCCACGTGACCCGGCGGAAGAAAAACGCTCGGAACGAGCGCTTCCAGCCCCAAAACGCGGAAGGATCCGCACATGTGCAGGAAGTGCAGCGGGCGCCCTTCATTCGCGGGCGCCGATGACCCATGATGCTCGCAACCCTCCCACGCCCTTGCTGGCTTGGTAATAGGCCCAGACAAGCGCAGCCACGTGACCCGGCGGAAGAAAAACGCTCGGAACGAGCGCTTCCACCCCCAAAACGCGGAAGGATCCGCACATGTGCAGGAAGTGCAGCGGGCGCTCTTCATTCGCGGGCGCCGATGACCCATGATGCTCGCAACCCTCCCACGCCCTTGCTGGCTTGGTAATAGGCCCAGACAAGCGCGGCCACGTGACCCGGCGGAAGAAAAACGCCCGCAAAGAGCGCTTCCAGCCCCAAAACGCGGAAGGATCCGCACATGTGCAGGAAGTGCAGCGGGCGCTCTTCATTCGCGAGCGCCGATGACCCATGATGCTCGCAACCCTCCCACGCCCTTGCTGGCTTGGTAATAGGCCCAGACAAGCGCGGCCACGTGACCCGGCGGAAGAAAAACGCTCGGAACGAGCGCCTCCAGCCCCAAAACGCGGAAGGATCCGCACATGTGCAGGAAGTGCAGCGGGCGCTCTTCATTCGCGAGCGCCGATGGTCGATGATGCTCGCAACCCTCCCACGACTTTGCTGACTTGGTAATAGGCTCAGACAAGCGCGGCCACTTGACCTGGCGGAAGAAAAACGCTCGGAACGAGCGCTTCCAGCCCCAAAACGCGGAAGGATCCGCACATGTGCAGGAAGTGCAGCGGGCGCTCTTCATTCGCGGGCGCCGATGACCGATGATGCTCGCAACCCTCCCACGCCCTTGCTGGCTTGGTAGTAGGCCCAGACAAGCGCAGCCACTTGACCTGGCGGAAGAAAAACGCTCGGAACGAGCGCTTCCAGCTCCAAAACGCGGAAGGATCCGCACATGTGCAGGAAGTGCAGCGGGCGCTCTTCATTCGCGGGCGCCGATGACCGATGATGCTCGCAACCCTCCCACGCCCTTGCTGGCTTGGTAATAGGCCCAGACAAGCGCAGCCACGTGACCCGGCAGAAGAAAAACGCTCGGAACGAGCGCTTCCAGCCCCAAAACGCGGAAGGATCCGCACATGTGCAGGAAGTGCAGCGGGCGCTCTTCATTCGCGGGCGCCGATGACCCATGATGCTCGCAACCCTCCCACGCCCTTGCTGGCCTGGTAATAGGCCCAGACAAGCGCAGCCACGTGACCCGGCGGAAGAAAAACGCTCGGAACGAGCGCCTCCAGCCCCAAAACGCGGAAGGATCCGCACATGTGCAGGAAGTGCAGCGGGCGCTCTTCATTCGCGAGCGCCGATGACCCATGATGCTCGCAACCCTCCCACGCCCTTGCTGGCTTAGTAATAGGCCCAGACAAGCGCAGCCACGTGACCCGGCAGAAGAAAAACGCTCGGAACGAGCGCCTCCAGCCCCAAAACGCGGAAGGATCCGCACATGTGCAGGAAGTGCAGCGGGCGCTCTTCATTCGCGAGCGCCGATGACCCATGATGCTCGCAACCCTCCCACGCCCTTGCTGGCTTGGTAATAGGACCAGACAAGCGCAGCCACGTGACCCGGCAGAAGAAAAACGCTCGGAACGAGCGCCTCTACCCCCAAAACGGGGAAGGATCCGTACATGTGCAGGAAGTGCAGCG